GCTGGCCGCGTCCGTGTGGACCGTGAGCCAGGCCCCCGGAGCGCCGGGCTGGCCCTGCGAGATCGGGCCCTGGGCCGTGGAGGGGCCCTCCTGGCCCGGCCCTGCTCCCCTCGACGGCGGAAGTGGGTGGGCACGGCGCCGGCGAGTCCCCAGGCTGGCAGAGGAGGCAGCAGCCGTGCGTGGACTGTGGGGGCACAGACGGGGCTGTGGCTCCCTCCCCCCCCCCCCCGGCCCTGCTGGGGTGGGGGCTGTGACCCTGTTCCCTGGACTGGAGGCTGCAGGTGGCGCTCAATAAACACTTGTCCAGGGACCCGCGTGGACTGTGCTGGAGGGGGACACGGACGGGGTCCCGAGGCACTCCCAGCCCTGACAGATGGGGGGAGTTAGGGTCAGGGGGCAGAAGCCGGGCCGTCCCGAGCAGGAGCCCCAGGCTAGGCGGGCTTCCTGGAAGAGGGGCCTTGGCCGGCAGCTGTCCCCCATGCCTCTGCTGCCCTGTCCAGTCCCCTCCGTGGGCAGCCGGCCTGGCACACCGAGGAGGCTGGTCCCGGGCCTGTGTCCGGCTCAGGGCCAGCACCGCCAGGCTCTGGGCTCTGCCCGCGGGGTGCCTGCTCTTGAGCCCAAGGTCGAGGGTGGGGTCAGGTTATACCTCAGGCTTCCTGGGGCAGCAGGTGGTCTGGGTCCAGCCCTCTCTCCACGGCCTGTGCTGGCCTCCACCAGCTCACAGGACCCCCTCCCTCAGAGCCTGGTTCTGGGGTTCCACCCAGCGGAGGGGAGCAGCCAGGGGTCCTGGGTGTGGCTGGCCGGCCAGTGGAGACCTGTCAGGAGCAGTGCCCTCAGGTGCCAGCATTCCTGCCTGCACCCCACACGCCTGCACCCAACCTGCCTGCACCCCACATGCCTGCACCCCACACACCCAAGCCCCGCCCTCCCCTCCAGCCCCGATGGGTAGTGGTCCAGGTGGGTGCGGCTCGGAGCAGTAGGTGGAGGAGAGGGGGGCTCTGGTGCGCCCCCCAGCCTGGCACCCCCCCCCCCACACCTGCACAGCATAGCTCATTTCACCCCAGGAAGGAGGGTGGGGGCAACCTCGCTTCCTGGCTCAGGAAAGGCTGTTCCTGGGCACCTGCTCTGTGCCTGTTCCTGGGGAGTGTCCCGGTGAAGTAACTACAGAGTTAGGGGTGCGGGCGGGCTGGCTGCCATCAGGGGTGGCGGTGCTCAGTCTGCGAGAGCCCGCCGTACGCAGCCCTGCGCCTGCCTCCCGGCCAGGCCCCCACCCCCGCGGGAAGCCAGCGCTCTGAGGGGCTTGACCGGGATTGGGGGTCCCTGTCACGGCTGGCCCATCCCCGGACTGGCTGCGGACACACACACACACACACACACCCCGCCGGCTCGCTGCCGGCTGCCGGGGAAGCAGTTCCTGGGCTCGGCCTCCTGGGCGGGGCAGAGTCGGCTGAGGATCTTCCCGCGAAAACACCGCGCCGGCCCCCGCCCAGGGCCCCGCGGCTCGGGCGGGCCGGCGGGGCTGACTCAGCGCGGAAACTCCGCGGGCGCCGGTGCGTGGGAACCCGCCCGGACGTCAGCGTGAGACTGCGGGGGTGCACGCGGGGCCTGGGGGATTCCAGGCCGTGGGGCCGAGCCAGGATGTGGGCGGTGAGCTGGGCTCGGGGGTCCTCGCCCCAGGAAGCTCCCGTTCCCTCCACAGCCCCTCCCCCAGCACGGTGCCCCTTTCCCCACGCACCCCACCTCCATCTGCCCCCTCCCGCTCTCATGCCCCCACCCCAATGTCTGCCCCTGCTCAGGTGTTTTTCGAGCCCTGAGGACCCCATGAGTTGCAAGCTCAGCCTGGCTCTGCGGTGCAAAGGGCCTGGGCTGGGGTCTGTAGGCTGGGCTGGGGGGCTGGGGGCTGGGAGCTGGGCTGGGGGCTAGGGGGCTGGAGGGCTGGAGGGCTGGAGGGCTGGGGGCCGGGGGCTGGGCTGGAGGGTTGGGGGCTGGGGGCTGGGGGGCTGGGGGCTGGAGGGCTGGGGGGCTGGGGGCTGGGGGGCTGGGGGCTGGGGGCCGGGGGCTGGGCTGGAGGGTTGGGGGCTGGGCTGGGGGCTGGGCTGGGGGCTGGGCTGGGGGGCTGGGCTGGAGGGCTGGAGGCTGGGGGGCTGGGGGCTGGGGAGCTGGGGGCTGGGCTGGGGCTGGGAACTGGGGGGCTGGCGGAGACCCAGGCTCTGGATGTTCGAAGGCTGCCAGGTCTGAGAGGCCTGAGCCACTCCAAGTTCTGAGGCCGGGAATGTGCCCAGGACAGGGGGCGTAGGGGGCTCAGGGTGCTGTTTCCCTTCCCTCCCACTCTGCCCAGCTCCTCCTGCAGGGCGGGGGTGGGAGTGCGCCCACTGCAGAGTGGTCACCCAGCCTGACCCGGGGAGGCACCGCCTGGGAACGCTGGCAGCTCAGGTGTCGGAAACCACAGCCCCTCCCGCTGGCACTCAGGCTCAGATAAGGGACCGGGCAGAGTTCTCAGCAGGGCTTCCGGCCACAGGCCCCCTCCCAGCACCTGCTCCCCGCAGGAGAGGCCCTGCGCTTCCCTGCCTGAGGCCGGCCTGCCCTGTGGCCCCCCTGCCCAGGCACAGAGCCCTCCCTGGGGGGCGGGGGCTGTCTGAAGCCGGCAACCAAGGGGCTCCCTCCCCGCTCCATCCGCAGAGACAGGCTCAGTCCTCTGAGCATTTATTCCAACCCTGCTGGCAGCATGGGAGCACGGCGGGCCACCCACAAACGGCTGCTCTGCAGCCCCCATCAGCCAGCTGCTTAGATGGGGGGACCAGGGTTACAGGGGGAAGTAGGTACTACAGGGTTACAGGGGGAGTAGGCCGTGTGGGCTGCGTGGGATCCATTGTTTGGGCAGAAGCTGGCTAATCTTTCCGTGTAATAGGCGGGTCTTGAATGGAATGCATTCCGGTTGGCTCCCAGGTGCGTGTGGGGTGGGAGTGGGTGGGGGCGTACAACTCCCAGCGGGTTAGAGTGCACTTCCTTCACCAGAACAAGGCAGACGTGGTTAGCATGAGTAATAGTTCCCATAACCACAGCCCATCCCCAGGATTCTGTTTCTGTCCCTGACCTGCCCCGGTCCCTGGCTGCCCCCAGGGGCTGCAAGGTGGGCCCACAGGGTCAGGCCTGACCACTCAGGGTCCTGGGCCAGGACCTGGGTCAGCGCTCCTGTGCCTGCTCCCCCACCTGGGTGTCCTGAGCCCTGGGGGGCATGCCCCAGGCAGGGCTGAGTTCCTTCTTTTCTTTATATTTTATTGCCTGGGCTGCGGGCTCCATCTCCAGTGGGAGAGGAAGGGAGAGAGAAACATCGATGATGAGAATCATGGATCAGCTGCCACCGGCATTTTCCAGGTGACCCTTATCTGCCCCCTACTGGGCACCGAGCCGCACGCAACCCCGCATGTGCTCTGACTGGGAGTGGACCTGGGGTTTGGACTGGACCTCCTGGTTCATAGGTCCACAGCCAACCACTGAGCCACCCAGGCCGGCCGGGCCCCTGGCCATGAACCGCCCCCTCTGGGTGGCTCTGCCTGGGTGGGGACACCTCCGTGCCCCACGCCTCAATGCCCAGGAAGAGTAGGGGTGGAGGTGCTTCCTGGAGACGGGTCTCAGGCCAGGGTGCGGCTCCTGCTTCTCTGAGACACTCCAGGGCCGAGGGGAGGGGGGCGTGGGTCCAGGGGGTCCCCGGCTCTGTCTGTCTGAAACAAACCCAAGGCTAGCCCCGCTCTGCCAGGGGCTGAGGGACGCCCAGCGGGTGCCAGGGTGAAGGGCAGCCCTCAAGAAGGAGGCTACAGGGTTGGTGGGGTCCCTGGGTGATGCCTGGGTCCGAGCTGCCGGCAGCTGGACCCCCACAAACTTTGTGCAGATGGGAGACGTGGCTTGTGTTCCCCAGCCACCAGCAGGTCCCCTGGAGGGGCCGGGGAGATGGGGGGGGTGCCTAGGGGCAGAGGGAGTGAGGGTGAGGGAGGAGAGTGGGGTAGACAGACAGGGTTTACGTTGGACACTCACTGGGCGGTGCAGCGGTGGGCGCCCTGTCCTGGCACCAGGTGCCACGCCCCCTGCAGGGTCCCCGCCACTCTGCTGCGCTTGCCGCCCGCGTGCTGTCTGAACATTGGGAGGGCACCTCCCGTCTGCTGATGCCCGGGTGCCCACGGCCCACGGCCCTGAGGCTCCGTCTCCTGCCCACCTCTCCCTGGTCCTTCAGGCCCCGAGTGTGGGCTGGGGGCTGGGGGGCGGCATCACCCCGGTGAACAAGCAGCAGAGGCTCTGGGAAACCTCGGGGACCCCAGGACGGAGAGTAGCAGGGGCCCGGGCCTTGGGGGGCCCCAAGAAGGGGTCTGCGGGGTTGGGGCGAGCTGCTCTGCCAACGTGCACATCGTCCCATCGCGGGACCCGGGTGGCCTGATGGACCGCGGCCTCACCCCGGCTCCCGCACAGAGCTGGCTGGGCTCAGGGCGCGCTCGGCGGGGGCCTTCCTGGGGGGACCCCTAGATGCGCCCGAGGGGACTCAGGGCTCCTGGGGATACAGAGACACGGGGTGCTGCCAGCCTCTCGCCTGGGCACCCCACACTCAGCCATGGCAGCAGGAGGGGGGCAGCAGGAGCAGAGGCTGGGGGCCTGTGAGTGACGGACAGGTTGGCCTCTGGCCCCTCCCCCCACCTCCCTGAGACCCCGGGACTGCCTCTGAGTCCCAGTTCCCTCCTTCCTCCCCCGCTCCCGGCTGCTCCCTGCAGGGCCAGAGGCAGCGGTGCACGGCGCCCTCTGGTGGTGCTGGGGCCGAGGCACTCCAGGAATGCAGCTGTCTTCCCCCTGGGGTGTGGGGTGGCCGGGGTGTCACCCGCGGCCAAAGCTCCATGCCCACCAGAGGGGGCCCGCAGCCGAGGCCACATGGCTTGGAGGCCAGCAGTGAGGGTCGGTGCCTAGTGTTTGTGATTTGGGGGTGCTGTCGGCGTGACCACTGGGGGCAGGGCATGAGA